TGTTGTAGTACTGCAGATGTTATGAATCAGATATATTTTTACTTTCCTGATTGACACAAGTTGATGAAGGAATTAAATCAAGCTGACAAATTGTGGCATAGAACCAGGTCTAAACAGATCAGCCAACTGATTAGGAACACAAACTGTAATATGCGTAATTCTGCCCTTAGTCAGCTATCCTTCAGGTTCAACAAGATCGCAGCTATCAGACAACTGTTAAAAATTAAGTCACTGTTCTGATCTGCAGAGATTACCGTCCAATCCCAGCACTCGATGTGTATGATCCCGCTGCATTAGATGATGAAGACTTTGATGAAATGGCACCAGAGGCGCGGCAGGAAGCTGAGCGGCTCATGAGAAAGAGAGACAGAGAAGAGGCAGCTGCCAGAGGACGACTTCACCGGGGACTTCTTTATGGTAAAGACAAGATAATTTGTTTTGTTGTTTGTTTTTTTTTTTTACAATGAGAGGGAAGTGTATTGTTCATTAAGTCATAAAGCAACTGAAGAAGTTAAAAAGCCAAGAATGTTATTTTAGATTTCAATGGATTCAAACTTTTAAACCTTGACCTCTTTTGTATAAATGCAAATGAGCCTGTATTGTGGTGGTCATGTGGTAACCTTTAATGTCAGGTTTCAATCTATTTTTTGTTAAGATGAAACTGATGAGGAAGACGAGGAGCAACCAAGACGTCGGCGTAGGCTTGCGGAAAGAGCAGCTGATGGAGATATGCAAGATGAGGATGAAGTATGATAGAGGGATTAAATTTAGAATATATCTTAGTCGGATAAGAAAGTAACTACAACTTGCAGTCTTGAAAAAAATTCCTGAATTTCAAATAAGAGCTGCCACTAAAGTGTGTTTAAGTTCGTGGTGTTTTCAAACATAGTCTTGAAAATTTGTTGGATAAATTTTCATGAAGGGAGAGAAGTAGTGGAATCTTAGATTGGCTCAAATTTGTTAAAAAAGAACCCAGAAATGTTGACTCTTTCCTTTAATAATATTAGTTATCTCTCTGTAGCTTATTGAAAGTATTGAAAACCTGGAGGACATGAAAGGACATTCTGTGAGGGAGTGGGTGTCTATGCAGGCACCTCGCCTGGAAATCAAGAACAGGTTTAAACAGTTCCTTCGTTCATTTGTTGATGATCAAGGAAAAAGCGTTTACAGGGAGAAAATTTCACAGATGTGTGAAGGTAAGCATTGAGATTCCACTAAAATCTATTGTATCCTTTTAAATAAATGCAGCATATACTATGAGCTCGAGAGAAGCCAGTAAATTACAATATTTAGAGGTGAAGCTACATCAGCCTTAGCTTGTTTTAATGGGGGTCTTCTATCCTGGTCGAATTGGAATTTGGAGATGCTGAGTTTTGTGCAGGGAGGAAAACTGGAGAACCCGGAGAAAAACCCTCAGAGCAAGGCAAGAACCAACAACAAATTAAACTCAACACACATATTGTACTGGGCTGGAATCAAATCCAGACCACATTGATGTGAGGTGGGTCCTAACAATGCACCATCCTTACTCCTACTTTGCTTAATTGTTAGTGCTCAGTACTTATACATGCTTGGTTTCTCTTACATTTGACATCNAATGCAGCATATACTATGAGCTCGAGAGAAGCCAGTAAATTACAATATTTAGAGGTGAAGCCACTTCAGCTTTAGCTTGTTTTAATGGGGGTCTTCTATCCTGGTCAAATTGGAATTTGGAGATGCTGAGTATTGTGCAGGGAGGAAAACCGGAGAACCCAGAGAAAGACCCTCAGAGCAAGGCAAGAACCAACAACAAATTCAGCTCAACACACATATTGCACTGGGCCAGAATCAAATCTAGGCCACATTGATGTGAGGCGGGTCCTAACAATGCACCATCCTTACTCCTACTTTGCTTAATTGTTAGTGCTCAGTACTTATACATGCTTGGTTTCTCTTACATTTGACATCAAAATATTATATTGTTGTTTATTTTTCTCTTTTACACAGCAAACAAACAAAGCCTTGTTGTTGATTATAACATACTGGCCAACGAGCAACAAGTTTTAGCTTATTTCCTCCCAGAAGCTCCATCAGAAGTCCTGCAGATCTTTGATGAGGTAACTGACATTTCCATCAAAGCACATAAATGTTTTTTTTTCTTGAGGTTGTTCAGAAGGAAGGATGGGAGCAGTAAATTTCAGTCATCGGAGATGTGACGGTTCTAAAATATTTACAACATGAAGTGATGTTTTGGTCAGAAACTTAACTCACATTTTTCATTTGGTTATTTGTCACTTTTCAATATTCAAGGGAACGAGAAAGTCAGTTCCAAACATGGCCAAGCATAGAAAAATGCACATCACGAAAATCTGGTCTTTGAACATACATTTTGAATTTTCAGGGTGCAAAAGAAGTGGTACTGGCAATGTTTCCAAACTATGACCGAATCACCAGTGATATCCATGTGCGAATTGCTGACTTGCCCCTCATGGAGGAACTGAGATCTTTAAGGTAACCTTGTAAATCTTTGGTTATTATTTGCTTGAATTTGTTGGTGCTGTAGTGGTAAATGTTCTAATGGTTTGCATGCTTCACTCCAGGTTGGTAGGTCCAGTTTTAAACCCTGGTCATATTTTCCTTGTGGGGATGATTCTGTCACAATATATATGCTTTGTTTCCTCTCTCTATCCAAGTGTATAAATGGGAACTGGCTAATTTAATGCTGGGTTATCCCTGTGATGGACTAGCATCCCATCAATGGGAGATACTGGAAATAATAAGCAGTAGCTAGAACTCTATTAGGCTAAGAATGTACACTTTCCTTACCTTCTTTCACTCTTAAACAAACTTGAAATGTGTTTTCTTCTCTACAGGCAATTACATGTGAACCAACTCATAAGGACTTGTGGAGTTGTAACGAGTAGCACAGGCATTCTTCCCCAGCTCAGTATGGTGAAGTATGACTGTCAAAAATGCTCATTTATCCTGGGTCCATTCTTTCAGTCGCCCAATCAGGAAGTAAAGCCAGGGTCTTGTCCAGAGTGTCAGTCACGAGGACCTTTTGAAATAAACATGGACCAGGTATGATTCAGAGCCGCTAATTGTACTTAGTTGTTGACTAATATATATGCCGAATTTAGAGGCGTGTTGAGTTAATGGTTAGCATGTGCTGGTTCCAGAACAAGGTAGTAGTCTTGGTTCAAGCCCTAGCTAAGACATGTTGCTCTTACCGTGGCTCTCTTCACCCAGATGTATAAATGGGTACCGGCTTGGGTGTAACCCTGCGCTGGACTAGGATTCCATTCAGAGGGAGTTGAAACGCTGTCTTGTAGTTGCTACATGCTACTGCTTCATGAAACAGGGATAAACTCTGGCAGTGTGGTACACTTTAACCTAAACTTCCTCATTTCATCCCAACAGACCATATATCAGAACTTCCAAAAAATCAAGATTCAAGAAAGTCCTAGTAAAGTCGCTGCAGGCAGACTTCCACGATACAAAGATGTAATTCTTACTGGTGATCTTGTCGACAGCTGCAAACCAGGAGATGAAATTGTAAGTGGTGGCCCCAATGAACTTGTTAATAAAGTAATGTGACGGTGTTATTTTCGAGAAATTTGTAGATCATGTCAATATCAGTTATGATGATGATGATGTTGATGACAATAATGATGACGATGATCATGAAAATGGTGATGACGATGACAATGCTAATAACAGTGGCAGTGACTATGACTACTATGGCCTTTGCGGCAGTGACTATGACCAACATGGCCTTTGCCAAGCAATGATCATTATGATGGTAACAGAACAAGAGAGAGAACAGGAAGGCTACTGGACAGCGTTATTTGTTACCCAAATCAACTAATTTTTATAATAAGCTCTTGTACCACCATGATGTCTGGGACATGATCTTTGATTTAAAATATTCTTAAATATGGCATTAATTCATCAATGAATTAATAATATTGGTAAATCAATTATATTTTAAATTTATTGTTTATTTATTAATTTCCTCAGGAGTTGACAGGTATTTACAGAATCAATTATGACACAAGCCTGAACCGTTCTAATGGCTTTCCAGTATTCGCTACTGTGATTGAAGCCAATTTCATCACCAAACAGGATGACAAACTAGCTGTGACAAGTTTGACAGACGAGGATATCAAGGCAATTATTGATTTATCAAAAGATGAGAAAATTGGTGAAAAGGTAAATTAATGTTGATGTACTACACTAATGTGCCAGCACAGGACCATCTTTCTAGCAGATCTTACTGAGTTTTAGGCAGGAAGTTTATATTCACTGTTGATAATGTCTTGCTGTTCTTTGAGTAGTAATAAATTTAATTTCATGGGGACTAATCTCAAGTGAAGATACCAATGATGAAATTAAGTTAAAACTACCATGTGATACGTTTTCGTTGTTAGTAACTCCTCACCATTTCTTTAGTCAGACAAATACTGGTTTCTAGCATGTATATTGATTCCTTTTAGGTAATTTGATGTCAAGTTATGTTGCATGCTTCCATCTTATTTCTTTTTACTCGGATTTTGCAGATTATAAATAGTATTGCGCCATCCATATATGGTCATGAAGACATCAAGAGAGCAATAGCTCTGGCTATGTTTGGTGGTGTGGCCAAAGATCCAGGTGGGAATAATTTATGATATTTACTTAAAGGAGCTCAGTCACACTTTGCACATTTTGAAAAGTTTAGCCTAAATTTTTCAAATTTGTTGTTTGCAATCCGTGTCAATCTTTGCCATCCTTGACCATCCTTGTTCCTTTATGGTTTATTATTATCTCTTTGAAAGTGATGTTTTTCTATCTTAGTGAACTATTATTTTCAGGTTTTCTTCCATTTAAAGGAGATTTTGTACGTGGCCAAACAAAAAAAAAAAAGAAAAAAAAGAAAAAAAAAAAACACTGTGACTGAGCTCCTTTACATTTAATTTATGTTTAAAGTGGGAACACACTTAGCGACAAGTTGCTGTGAAACGAAATGAGGACAAGTCGCAGCGACAACTTGGTTCATGATGTGAAGGATATATGAAATAATTCATATTTGCACTGCGGTTGTAGATGAAAGTGAAGAATGATCATCGCAGTAAATTTTCCAATTTAAGCAATTGGAAAGAAGA